GGGAGGGAGGGAGGGAGGGAAGAGGGTGTCCAAGTGTACAGCTTATAAATAGGGCGATGGGAGAGAAGACGGACGGGTTTGGGGGTATGTGCAGTTTTACTCTCAATTCATTCCGTTCCTGTCGCCAACCGGTCTCAACAAGTCCGACAAAGTCATATTAAAAAAGTCAAATTCAAAGCACGCCTTCCGCCCCACCCTGGAGGCTGGGCAACCACCAGGCTGCGCATCCCGTGCATGGAAAAACAACGGCGGCAACGCACGATCGAGTGGGGTAAGGGTAAGGAAAGAGGGGCAAAAGTAATCATATGAGGCGACTAATGGAGAGGGACCAGTCTGCGATAATCCGAAGGGGTGAGGGGGGGGAAACGAGGCCTCACACCCTCAAGAGGGGAGGGGATAGGCCTGACAGCCTCCCAGAGCCTGGACGTGTGCCCCAAGGTCGTGTCCACCCTCACGAACGGGAAGAGGGAAAAGCACCAAAGAAGGATAGGCTCGAATGGGCAGCAGGCGGGGAAAAGCCGCTCAGGCAAAGGGGGCAGGAATCTTTTCTTCATTTTTCTGGCCTTTGGGGCAGACTTGTCTTCCTGTAGTTGTGCATCTTTTACTCCACAAATTTCGCTTGTCATCCCTGCCGCTAATCCCTGTGCCTCTCAGTCGGTCCTACCGCTCCCTCCCTCCCTCCCTCCCTCCTTCCCTCCTTCCTCACCGTACATTTCTCCATGGCCGCCTCCCTTCGCTTCCTGGTACCCATGTCCCTCTCTCCCCGGCCCAATTTCATGCTTTTTCTACCATGTTTGCGCCCCTTTTCCCTCCAGAATTTCCTTCCCATGGCGATGATGGACTTTGCATCGATTGATAGCCCCCTCCCACGTCAGCCTAGGGATGCTTTGTCTGACCCCCGGGTGTTTTCCCTCCTGCATGCCCTTGGCATTATTCCTCCCTCTCTCCCTCCCTCCCTCCTTCCTTCCATCTTTTTTTCTACCCCTTCAAATCCTATCGTAGTCAGAAAGTCACCGACAGGTGAAGCAGCTCTTCCGACACCACCTCTCACTTGATGAAGACCGTGTAGGCATTTTTGTCTGCCTTTTTATTTTTCCCTTTCTGCTCTTGTCCTCCGTCTCCTGCTGCCGCTTTCGCGGCTTGTTTCTTTGCGATCTTTTCTTGCAATGCCTTCGCATCCCTGGGAACAAAGAAATGGGTATGCGAAACACATGTATATGATAAGCCATGGTAATGGACGTCACCGAAGCATAGGAGGCGTGGTACGTGAGAGGCCCGATGATGGCGTTTGCGTCATTGATGATGGCTTTTCCCACCGCTCACTCTTGTTCGTCCTTTTCCCTGATCTTTTCCACTGACCACATACCTCTCTGCACGCAGTTTAGGATCGCCTTCGTTTCCTTCCTTGCGACCTTTCGCCGCCCGTGCCGCCGCTCGAGCCCGATCGATCTCACGTTGATTCCCGCGTGTCATGTTGCTTCCTTTTTCGCTGGGATGTACTGTCCAGTTGGTCTAACGTAACGGTGGGGACAGGGGTTCTAGGAAGCCGAAGGACTGCTTCTTTTTCCTTGCGGGTGCCGCTTCGTGCTTCCCTCCCTCGTGGCACCGCCTGCTCCCGGCTCTGTATGTAGTGCACACGTGGGAGACAGCGTGGATTCGTGAGCATGGACTCCTGTAGTCCGCCTCTCAAGCTGGAACATTGGCAACCAAGTCAGCGACAGGGAATAAATCGGTGAGGATCTTAAGTCCACCCGACTCGGGGGGGTTGCCTCGAGCCAAGGCCCAAAATGAACACACGACCCAATCATTCGTTAAAACAAGGCACGTCCACCTCGCACAGGAACGCCACGACTAGACTTTTCCATCCCAGGACGTCCAAACCCTGCAGTTTCGGTCCCAGGGCCAGGGAGCCGGAGGGGACGTTCCAGAAAGCGGGGGCCACGGACGTTTTCGCGCTAAAAACGGAGGGCTCAGGGACGTAGGAGCGTAAAAATGGCCGTGACTATGTTAAATGGAAGGGACACGAGACCATTTGCCAGCGCTGTTGCGGTGAGGCATGGTATGTTTCTGTGTGTTTTGATTTGAAACGCATTGAAATTTCTGTTTATGGCCATGGTTTGGTGCGAAGCATCGATTGAGTACCTTGGCGAATTTTCCCGCCGTTGCCCTTGTTCGAACACTCGAAGAGAAAGAAGGATGCCTACGCACACTATGTCGGCTTGTTTTTAAAGATGCATGGATCAAGACTTCTGGTGTAATACTAAGTCAACGTCAATTCGAAGCCATGTATATGCATGACTACATGTTTATTTTTCCGACCGAGCTACAACTGGTGTCTTCGTCATGGGTCACAACGTTATCTTCCTACCCCTCATACGCTTTGTGAAGTCACAACGCTTACAACTCCATGCTCGCACATGCTGCACAGGAAAATCTTTTTTTAAAAGAGAACCTTTTCGCGTTTATGAATCCAGACGTAAAGGGCAAAGAAAACAATGGCCCGAGATCAAGCAGCTCCGTCGATGGAACGACAACCAAGGTCCAACCGCACTCCTTGCGTCTATCGCGTCGATCCCGCGATAGGCTGCATTGCACCGCCCAACAGACCGCGTCATTAAAATCTCTGGAGTCAACAAATGGGGAAGATGGCACCGTGGTACGTACGGAAAGCAACTCACAGGTTCTTCCCTCTCCCCCTTTGCCCCCGCGTCCGGACACCGTCTCGGTGCAGGTTCCAGAAATGAGGAGCCGCCTGGGCCTCCTGAAAGGCTTATCCCTCCGTTTCATTTCCACGCAAGGGAGGGGTTGGGACTGTCCCTTGCCACCCTCCCACGTCCCGTCCCCCGCGGGCAAAACCGTCATCAAATATGTGGGGGCTGCCTTTGTGGACCCAGCCACGCAGGCCATCAAGGTTCAACGGGGATTCACGGTCTCTTTGAAAGTGGTCGATGAGGCAGGGGAAGAATGTGGCGTCTCCGACAACCCCCGTCCCTGGCCTGGTGGGGGCGTGTACTACTTCGAGAGGGTGATTTTGCCGACGAAGGGCCTCTGGACGTTGAAATTAACGGCACGGGAGAGCAGGAAAGCCGGCGTCGACACGACCGGCTGGGTAGCGCACGGCGATGTGGCAGGGCAACAGGCGACAATATTCTGCGGGGAGATGCCCGGACAGGCATTTCCGGCAGACAGCCTGACCACGGACCTGGTTCCCTCGGTCCCTCCCACGCTCCCCATCGCACTTGGCTTGGGCGATGCCCCTGTGATCGCCTTGGACTACTTAGGACCCCGGAAAAATCTGGGACGAAAGGATACCCGGAGAGCCCCTCGACGGACCTGCAGCAAGGAAGACTTGGCCCTGGCCTTGTCGGTGTTGGAGGAAGAGAAGGTGGGGAGTGGCGGGGCAGGGGAGAGGAAGGGAGGGAAGCGACGGAGAGCGGATGGCGGAGGGGGGGAAGGAGGGAGGGGCGAAATATCGGCGGCTCAGAAGGCCTTGCTGCGTAAGTTCAAGTCGGTGCCACAGGATTGTCGTTGGCTGGAATTCGAGGCGTTGACGGCGGGGAGGACGGCCGTCGTCTTTTCTCGGAGAGCCTGGGAGTGGGATCTGGTGGGGATGATGGAGTACCGCAAGCCCTCGGGCGTGAGGGAGGGAGGGGGGGAGGGAGGCACCTT